GAAACCTTCTCGAGGGTCCCAACTGTCTTAAAAATGTAAAACTTTCTCGAGGTCGTCAAATGTTTTTTGTTTTTTTTTAGAGTGGGAAACCTTCTCGGGAGTCCAGGCTATCTTTTTTAAAAATGTGAAACCTTCTCGGGGGTCCCAAGTGTCTTTTTTTAAGAATATTAAATCTTCTCTGGGCTCCCAAATGTCTTTTTTTAAGAAGATGAAACCTTTTTTTCTAATACACTGTGACTAGTACCTTCTATATTGTTTTTACTCCATAAAGGTTATTACAAAAAACTAAAATTCCGCAAAATTAAATTTTATAATTTTTCATAGAATCAGTATTTGTTGGACTGTACTCAAGAAGCGAGAGAAGTTCTGTCGAAATAACTTTGGACCAATTTTTTTTTATATCAGTTAGGGGAGGGTGGGAACAATTAGGTATATTTTGAATAAAATCTTAAAAAAATGTACACGTTTTTATACTTGCTTCCAAAATAAGAGAGTAAAACTACCTGCAAAACTGACTTGACTTTTAGGGTTTGCCAACCCTAAGCGGTAGATAGGCCATACGCTTAATCCTTTATACCTGGTAAAAGTCAATCATTCCAGGGTCAAACTCAGTTTAATTTGTTCGAAATTATATTGTGTACTTATTTATTCCTAGTTTTACCTATTTTTACTTGAAAATAAATAAGGTAATAATTTATTTTTGGATTTATTTATCATAAAAATTGTAAGTATAGTTACATATTTTGTGAAATTTCTTAAACATTAAACCTCCATTTCGCTCGAATCACCCTCATCTCTAACTTCGTCAAGAGCACGACAAACACCAGCATCACACCGTACTTTTCGCGGCGTAACGTCCCTTCGTACAATTTTTTGCACTGTTGAATATGCAACTTTTGTCAAGTTTACTGTTTGCATTACAAAGCCTCTCTCACTGTTCCCGCTGGCTTTTAGTGACTCGAAAAAGTTTTTTACAATTTGTTTGGCATCATCACTCAAAAAAGTTTTGTGATGTATTTTTTCTTCGCTAGTGATAATTTGCTCTTCAATGTCACTCCAATTTTCGACATCAATGTCACTTTCTTCCAATCTCTCCTCTCCTCCGGACCATGGACGCGACATTTTGCGACTTAGTTATGTTTTACAACGATTGTAAAAAAGACAACCTAAAAAAATATTTTTTTGTACTCGCTCCCAAAAATGGTTATTTTAGGGATTCAAAAGTGTCCGTAAAATGAGTCTTTTTCGTACTAGTACGAAAAAGTTGCCATGGCAACTTTTTGGGACTGAATAGTACAAACTATAAAAACAATAATTAAATAACGACATTTATTCTAAAGGAGTAGATACAACAATACAATATTTATTTCTCAAAATGAAAATGGAATGAACAGTTTTGAGCTCCCTGAAAACAGTTGTGTCCAAACGAAATACCTGAGGAGCTTGAAGGTATCAGGCTGATGTCTCTTGATGTCGTGGAAGTAGCTTCAGTAGTAACTAATAGTGTGTTAGTCGATGGTTCGTTTTGCTTTTCTCCCAATAACTGTCTGCATATCTTCTTCCTTTCAACAGATTCTTCTATATATGATTCTGCGACAGAAGACGACCTAAAGTTTGTTACTATTTAAAAGAAAACAATAATTATATTGCAAAAAAATTACTTCCATCCTCCTAGCCGTTTCAGGGAGATTAAATCAACATCACTATCAGCCGCCAGAGATGCAGAACTTCGTCGGAAGCAATGCCCTGTATATTCCTTGGGATTGGGCAGGTTAAGAAATTCAGCAACAACTGAGGGCATTTTCGCAAAAGAATGAATTCCTACACGTTGGACAGTGCATTTTCCATTACGATAACAAATGAAAAAATAATCGTGTTGAACTGTCTCGGGCCGTAATCGTAAAAACTTCTAGTATAATTCCAGGCCATTGACAGCTTTGCCTTTAGCTATCACTGGAAAGACTCTCTTAATGTTGCTCTTAGTATCAGGAATTGTTATAGACATTCTTCGTCTTTTTGGACAATATCTTGAATTTTTAGTGAATGTAGCTCCTCACGCCTACATGCACCACACACACCAAAAAGAAGGGCAACCTACAAAATGAAAAATAAATCTATCTGATACATAGAATATTTTTTAAACTTACCTTTATTAATAAATATTTCATATAGTCTGCATTCGTCAAAAATGTGTCAATTTCTTGACGTGTCAAAACTTTTGACTTCGTGGGCTCGTATCCTACTGAATTTCTCTTTAAAAACGCAATGACTCTGGAAAACTTGTTTATTTCAATATTTTCTTTGACAGACGAAACAGCTTTAAACATTGAATATTTTGACCAGAGAGTAGATTGTTTTACTTCTTGTGACTGTAACAAAATACGGAAATTATCACGATAATCACGATGTGTAAGGCTTATAAATATTGAACATAAAGGCGGCACTTACCTTTTCATGAAGATAATTTAACATTACATGTTCATCTACTACTACAATTTTTTTTTTCTTCTTTCCATCGTAGGAATATTTGATATTCCTTTTCGTACATCGCTGGAAGTAAATCCAGTACGATTTCTTTTGCTTTTTCCGTAATATGTGCGGGATTCTGCATCATAGCAATCATAGCAATCACAGAAGAAAAATGACAAATATGTCAATGACAAATAATGACAAAATTGAAAAAATTATTACTCAATTTATTAATGGATCAGATTACAACGAAAACGAATTTATAATAAATGTTCAAAATGCCTGCCCCCACTGTCTTTACAAAATCCTATCCTAAGTTCAAAATTTCTACGAACTTTATCAAACATGTCGGGAGTTATAGATCTGCATAACGCTATTATCCTTTCACGTAAGTGGTTTTCATTTTCGATTGGGACACCATAAACGTCATTTTTCACCTTCCCCCAAAGAAAAAAATCTAATTATGTGGCTTCATCCGTAAACAAAACGTTAAATAAAAAATCTTCATTGTCTCGTAATTGAGCCCTCACGAATTCGCAAAGCACTAACCGTCGGATAAAATCGCGTTCTGTTAAATGTTGGACAGTTGTCACATGGTATGGATGAAATCGGTTTGCCTTTAAGATGTTGAAAACCGAACCCAAACTAATCTCCATTTGTCTTGCAATCGGTTTTTGACTCACGTAGGGATTTTCTGCTACAATTTCAATTAGAGCAGCTTCATTATCCGGCGTTGTTACAGTTCGATTTCTAACTTTATTTTTTTTAATTTCAATAATTTAATACTTGATTTAAGAGAGTTCTTCTATTGGGATATTGTCTGGTGTAGAGACGAACAGAAGCATCAAAATTTTTGTGACACTTTTCCAATATTAATAGCATGCCTGTTTTTTCAGAATTCGAAAACATTGTAAAGCAAAAGAAACTTGAATATATTTGGCTGATAGAAATAATTTGTCATAATTTTGATTCTGATCATTGATATCTATGCGTTCATTATTATTTAAAAATAAAAATTAATCAAAGATGTTTATAAAACGTAAAATGGGTTGCCTATGTACAAATATTCAGGCGTAAACTTACATATAAAAAAAATAAAAATCATAAGTTTTATCTACTTCAGAGGAGAGGAGAACTTTGTTTAAATAATTTTAGGCCAATTTTTTCTCATCAAGTACCTAGTTGACATTATTTGATATTCCATTCATATATATTAATACTTGAGGTTCCGGAAATATGAAAACTTACAGTCTTGATTACAGAAGTGTCGGCAATGTAATCAAAAACCGCGAATGTTGAAATAATTATTTTCCTAAAAAGTAAAACACTATGTTTTAACCGCCGACGCCGTGTTTATCCAATTTTCTCTCCAATAAATTATTCAACATTATATTTGAAATTTAATTTAGTACATGTCATTTACTTCCTGAAAGTATATTAAAAAAAAACAACAATGCACGGCTGTATAGTTTATCTTCCTCTTTATTAATAGTATAGACATTTTTTGTATAATCATATCAGTTCACTTATTTTTTTACGTTAACAGTGAAGGTTTAAGTTAAAGGAAAAATTAGTAGGTACTGATTTTAACGAATGTTTTTAAAACTTTTCGCAGCTCAATTATTTCACAAAATCTGTCGAGTGAAGGTTAGTGAAGGTTTGTTCCATAATTTTTTTGTCATTTATGTATGTAGGCTGTAGGCTTGACAAAAATAGTTCAAACTTTTACTGTATAAATAAGAACTTGGTTCTAAAGCCAGTTTGTATATAAAAAAATAGCACTCTGCTTTCGATAGGTATATTGCAAAACACTACGTTAACATGGCAAAAAATAAACCGATAGTAATAACGAGCTATTTCTGCATAATTTCGGTGGAATTTAGCAGGCTTAACATAAATATATCGAAACTTTTTTGGGTAGTGAGATGTGGTTTCCAAACCAGAAGTAAAAAGACACAACGTTACGACAACGTTATGTAACTTACAAACCAAGATTATATCACTTCACCCACTTTTAATATAGGTAAAGTTCAACATGAATCACAGTAAGATTGTAGCCCAAACGTGGTAATTACCCTTCATAAAATTTCATGGTTCAAAGTGCTGTAAATTGTTATCTATCATTTTCGAAGACATTATACAGAATCGTAGTACTTCCACTTAGTTTTTCTTTCAATAAAATATAGGTATTTAAAAAACTAACTATAAGAATTTATTACATAAACGTGACTTATCTTTACATTTTCTTCTACCGCGTGATCAGAAATGACTGAGTCTGTTGACAGCACTTTTTAAACAAAATGTGAACTTGCGTTTATGTTGGCATAACTGAAGTAATTCTGGGGCTGATATATGGAAATTATAGAAAACATCATGATACCAATCTCGTTTAAAAATCCAGGATTGCCAACAGGCTCAGTCCGATATTTTTCATTTTTCGCATAATACAACGCAACAAATTATAATTGTACTTTTTTGACTTAGTCGTTTGAGAAAAAACACTTAATACATTGTTAAAAAAAACGTAATGCTACATTTATATATACTTTTATTCATATGATCAATGCAGTGGAATGTGGATTTGTAATCAATGCAATTACTCATTCTCCTCTATACCTTACAATATTATTCTCTGTCTCATAAATCTCAACTTCATACAACAGTTCAGGACTCGTCATAATATCTTTCATTTGCTTCCAAATAAAAATTGTAAGGTTCTCAGTTGTACTAGGTCGGCTCTTGAAATATTCGACATCTTTATCTAAATTTTTATGGTCCATAGGTTTCATTATAGCTTGCTCCATGTACCATTTCAGTTCTGTCATATTGAGTATCATCCCTGTTTTAGGGTCAATTTCCCCAAAGAGGGTTACTTTCACTAGAAGAAAAGTGAATTTATTTATTTATTTTTTTTAAGGAGAGAATACAAACCTATGTAATTGTGTCCATGGCCATTTATATGGTTGCACTTTCCATAAACTTTTTCATTTTCTGCATCATCTAAAAAAGGGCTGAAACAGTATTTTTGTGTTATTTCTACAAAAAAAGTGTTACACCTACCTGTGTAGTCGATGACATGCAGAAAACGTAATTCTTCTAGTCTGGTAGGCTTTTGGGTTCTTTCTATCAACCATTATTCTACTACAACAACAACCACCTGTAGATATGTATTAGTTCATTTTATCAGTTTTTGTGGTTACTATGACATATTTGCACACCAGAAAATGGAAATTGTGAAGGATAGAGGGTGTCAACTCTTCTTTGTGCGGTGTATTACTGGTTACCTATACTAATACAGTCTCAGAACTCTTTTATCTTTATCTGACCGGTACATATTCATAGGAATAATAATAATACTGAAATTCAGTCTAGGGGTAAATCACTCTTTTTTTTTGTACTTAAGACTACGTGTTTAATTTTCTTAAAATTCACGAACATATCGACCTCCTTCTTCCATCTGTCTGTCTGTTCGTTTTGATTACTCTGAAATTTTAGGTGTACCTACTTTAAGATTATCTTGTATTTACGTTAATTAAAATGTATTTGTCCATTCCGATCAACAATTTGATAACGTCATCACAAAATTTTATGAAACAAATTTTACTTGCCCTTTATTTATATCTAGTTTTTCCTAAAAAACTATTGTGGGACTTTAAACATCTTGCCAAAATGAAATAAAAAATTCAAAACTTTGTCAAGAAAATGAAACCCCACGTTATTGTGTTTCTTCCTCAGGAGGGCAAAGCTGTAAACCTTTGGGGACTTATTTTCCTGCAAAAACCTCCTCAGTTTTCAAAAATCAAATGTTATAAATCGATTCAAATATTTTAACATCTCAAATTTAAATACAGACAGAAAGAGTGAAACCTTAATGAAAGTAACTGGATGGTAGCACTCAAGTTGTTACGATAGTGTGGTGGCCACTGGCCAATTTAAATATGAACAAGAGACACTAGCACACTTCACTGTGAGAGTGTTCAAGAATAAATGTCCAAAATTCAAGTCGTAGAAAACATAATTAATAACGCAAAATAAGCATTAAATATCTCTTCCCTGTTCGAATCCATGGTGACATAACAGTGTACTCCATAAGAGAAGAATAAGGACACCTACTACTTTGACTCATTTGATCATTATTTATCATGGGAGAAACTACATTTGTATCAAGATTAGCACTCAAATGGTTCTTTGAATGAAATAATTGTTATGTGATCAAGCTGCATTCCGCGTAATATCAGAAGCAAAATTCTTTGGATGGTACAAAATGACTTCAAAACTTCTTCAGTTCTGATGACTGCTTTTCTTTTTGTTCTATTTATTTTGGACATGAAGGAATTCTCCAAAATCTTCACTGGTAGAGGCACCAATATAGAAAATTTCCCGTATTTGCCTATTGCACCGAAAGGGGCTATTTTGCTAATTCTAGGAATTTTCACCACAGAAATCATCAATGATTCACATGTTTTGGTGTAAAATTTCCTGATAAGCTTATTTCCATAAATAACAAAGCGCAGAACCGTCTAGTGTTTCAGTCGTCACCTGGTTTGTTAACTGCAAAATTAATTCATGAGTACCTAGAATAAAGCAGTTTGGTTATGTAATTTTAAGTAGTGGGTCTGATTCTATTTTGTTAGTATACCTAACCTAACCTAAACATGGGACCGATAAGGTCTCCTAAAATTTATATTCGTCGATTACTTCAGCTAAAAAAATATAAGATTCGAGTGGATTGTGCAGTTCAAAAAATAAACGGTGAAATTTTCAAAATTTTTTCTGATCTTGGATCATTTAAAAATTGCTACTAATTACTACCATTAATTGGTTAATTCGTCTCACCTCCTTGCTATTTATCTGACCCATAAAATTCCAATTTATATGAGTTGTTGACCAGATTCGACGAACCGGACCACCGTTAATGTACTTTGATTTTTGTGGTAACTTATGTAAGACTGACGTAAGCGATTTAAGTACAGGTTGTAACTTACAAAAGGCAGAAGCTTTAAGCAGTAGCTTTTCGAATGTTCTCTTACAAGTATGTGAAGCCACCATTATTCTATTTTGTTTAGTCGGAACAGCTATAGCATAAAATCTGTAGTTAAAGTAATTTTTGGTACTTTATAACTACTCTGTGCTAAACGAGAAATAGAATAGGGAATCTGGCTACTAAAAGTTTATTAACGTAATATGCAAAAAAATGGTTATTAATGTTCTGTTGCATTAATTAGTACTTAAATTAAGGTCGTGTTGTTGTGGTTCCTGCAACGTCTGGCTATTTAAATAAAACAATGAAAACAGTTTGCTCTTCTTTCACATTAAAAATGGAAAGCTATGGTTTTGTGGAAACATTATTTCATAATATAGTTTTATCATAATGTTGGACAACCAAAAGAGCTGTTATAATTTATAACAATGTTTTATAATATATATATATATGATATTACGACTTAAAAAAATTATCTATACCTTTTCATTTTTAAAAGGTAGACGAATATATGTATTAAAAGTAAAACAGAAAATAGAAAGGAAATTAAATGAAATTTTTCGGGCAACTGAAAATTGTATCGGTTCTCACATTAATAATAACCGGACATCCTTTGTATGCAGTTTTAAGAATTAAAACTGTAATATGACTAACGTATCGGTATAACTTCACTTTAAAGCATATTTTTTAATACAAATATTAAGTATTTAATAATCTTTTGGAATGCGTCCATTTTTTGAAGGTAATGATTAATGAATAAATAAAATCGAAATGACCAACATTCAGAATTATTATTTTCAATAGTAAATTCGGATAACTTTAAAAAAGTAAAGCAAATGCGAAAAATAATTCTTAATCTACCAACTACCACCTATTAATAATAGCAATTTAATTAATAATATTAATATAAACAAATTTTCGAATGCTTCAAGTAAGATAACGTTAAAATGTTGGCAAAATTTTAAAATATCCAATTTTATAGTTTCTAAGTAAAATTGTAAAATGTTGTTATACAATTTTGACTTTTTTTTCAAAAAATGTGTATATCTAAGGTTAAAAATAAAAACGGAACTATAGAGGCAATAATATTTAAATGACCTTTAAACTTTCCTTTCGGCAGTAATGCATAACAGTCACTCATGATCTTGCAAAAAGTAATTAACTTTTGAATCCCTACTTTGGTTGTTATTCTCGTAAACCAAAAAAAAAGCCACAGGAGTATTGTTTTCAACTAATTTTTGTTTATAATAACACCATTAATTTAGAGAAAATTTTAAAAATCGTCTTTTACACTTTGAGGAAAAATTGGGAGATCGAGGATTTTCTGATTCAACTCGTAACGTCTGTGGTAAGTCATTTATAAATAAGTAAAAGTTAACTAAGTTTTTGTTCTTTTACAGGTGTGCTTTCAGATTTTTGCTAAACAGAACTGTCAATCATAAGGCAGCATTTTTATTTTTATTATTATATGATGTAAATGTTTAAAAGTTGTTTGTTTTCACAGAGAATCGTCAAACAATACATGTTCTTCAAATTTCAGGGCAATATCGTCTTTAACCGACAAAGATATTACGTTTAAAAAGACATATACATTAATAATTTAATAAGAGTAGTGGGCGGTGATTCCGCTTTAAGTGAATGGTGGATGACACATCTCCAAGTTGTTAAGTAGTTCACAACCTACTGCCAGAAAATTATCGTTGTTTAAATAACAGAGATCTAATAGTGTCAACATAGTTATTTAATAAGAGAAAGAATTAAAATCACAAATACATTTTAGTCACCTAAACAAATAGGTACTTTACACTAAAATTGTGATTGTTCGTTCTCCATTGCCAGTCAAAACAGAAACAAAAATTGATTTAGAGTCACATCACCATTTCACACCTCACTCACTAGTAACAGAATTTCTGTCGTTGCATCTATTGTCCAAGATTTCCGTGTCCGAAACAGCAGGATGTAGCTATACTTTAACGAAAACAATAATGTCGTAATTTCATTCAGACATGACAATAAGCAGTCCCGAAGTTTGGTACGTAGATCGCGAGAGCTTTGATAACAGACACTCATACATTTTCTATGAATGGAAATTTCTTTGTTGCGATTATGTGATGAGGATTGAGTAAGTGAATTGTTTGAGTCAAGTTGGATCCAGGAAGAACTGCTCGAGTTTCCTGTCCGAACTTCGTTCTTGAGAAAAAGGAAACAAAGGCAACAAAGGCTGCACTTTATTTTTAGAGAGATGTTTGAGGGTCAACGGACTCTTTAGAGCTTTAGGTAATAAAAATAAGATAGGTATAATAACATATTATAATAAATTAAAATTTAATAAAAGTAGCAGATCCACGTTCCACGTGCATACATGCTACTTAACCACCTGACAGGTCTTAAAGTAGTCTCTCCAATTCTCCATTATTATTATTATAACGTCAAGATTAGTGAACAATATCACTATAGCTGCATAAGGTTCTATGTATTAATCTGAAGTCGATATTTCATAGCACCCAGAGACATTTCGACATATTTATAGAAGGTCGATTCAACTATACAGGGTGAGTATTATAATTAGAGAGCGGATTTATAAGCAAAAAAGCATTAAATAAGCATAACACTTTCATTAAAAAAGTTTTATTTTAAGCAAAAAAGCATTAAAAACATAATCATATTACAAATCAAAGAACACTTCTTAGAACTTTGGATAAAATATTATTACAATAATCGTAGACTTTATATTTTACACACGTATTTCAGTTTTCTTTAAAACAATTTATGATTGTAATATGTTCCAAGTTGTCCACTGTAAAATTTTTTCGCCGATCACTTAAAATGTGTTTAAAATTGGAGAATGTGCGTTCAACATCCACACTCGTTGTTGGCGCAAATTTGAATTTTGCAACTAATGTTGAATCTAACTCCAAATTTTCCACCTTCTGGCCTTGTAAAACACGAGCAACGTCGAAAAGAACACCGAAACCTGCATTTTTATTTAACACTTCGTCAAGTTTTTGAGATACTCTAGTACCAATATCACCCCTTACTGCGTTTGCTTATTGTTTAAATTCTTTCACTAAGTTTATGGCATCTACCAACAACATGTTGGGTTTTTCTAACTTTTCTATTATCTCACATACGAATTGATAATTGCGTCTTAGAAAAGCTAGATCTTGTCGCAAATCTTTGTTTTCCAAAATATGTATGCAATCTTTAATCGATTGAGAAGAATCTTCGCTAAACTCCGTAACTACTTC